GAGGCCTGAGTGCGGAGACCGGAAGTGGTTCCACACAGAATGGGCCGAGCATCAAGGGCATACAGACCAGGCTGGACTCCAGAATGGGCCCTTTGTGGCTTTGTCCCAGGCTTGAAAACTGTGACCAGGGCCCTTTCATTGTTAAGAAAGACCGTTTCTTGGCCACAGCAGAGCTAATAAGTCTAGTGCCCCAACCTGGCAGGTCTGGAGAAGGCCCTGTTCCTCACTGGAACGTTCTGTTAGCATGAAAACCAAATCAAACCTGTTGCCATCCAGTCGATTCCAACTCGTAGTGACCCTATAGGGCAGAGTAGAACTAACCCATAGGGTTTCCACGGAGCATCTGGTGGATTCAAACTGCTGACCTTTTGGTTAGCAGCTGAGTTCTTAACCACTGCACCACCAAGGCCCCTCTGTTAGCATCGTCCTCTCTAAACCTTTCTCTGCCCCTTCCTCTTTAACTCATTAGTGCTTTTTGCCAAACCTTGATCACATACGTGTTGGTCCTACAGCAGCGACTTGGTCTGACTCCTTTTTCTTGCCTTAGGGTCCCCCCTTCCCAGCTGCCTAAATTAATTCCCTTCCTAAGTTAAGCCTACCCCAAGTGCCTTTTGGAGCCCTGGTTGCACAGTTGTTAAGAGCTCGGCTGCTAACGGAAAGGTTGGCAGTTCAAATCCAACAGCTGCTCCTTGGAAACTCTATGGGGCAGTTCTACTCTGTACTATAAGGTTTCTGTGAGTTGGAATTGACTCAGCGGCAACTCGTTTTAATTTAAGTGCCTGTTGGTCATTCTTATTTTATTTAAACAGTTGGGTTTGCACAGTATTTTTAAACCAGTGTCAGTTCTTATTAATAAAAAGTCGTGCCTCCAAACCTTTCCAGCCTTTTTCCTGTTTCCAGACCATGTCCCTGCCAGGTTTGGGGTATATTTCTACAGACTAGACATCTGATAGGCCTGAAGAGCTCCTGGGAACTGGCCCAGCTGTCTCTTAAACCAGGAGCAATGGTGCCACCTACTGGGAATTTACTATTAGCTACAGGCTGTGTGGCCATTGCTCCTGTTTTTTGGTGAAGTGACTAGGGCCTCAGTTGGGAGTATCTGTACTGTATTCCAGTACAGAAATAGTAAAATGCAGCCATGTAAAATGCATGAGTTAGGCTCACTATTGCCTACTTAAACAGACAAGGAAACAAGCATAGAAATTGAGGTTGGGCAAGTTGCCCAGGGTCATGACTAGTTAGGGGCAGAGGCAGATTGGAACTGGGCCTTCCTGGCTCCAAAGCTGGCCATCTTAATGATTCTGCTAGGGTTTGCCAAAGCCAGCAGAAGATTTTAGGCAGGAACTACTTAATAACGTGAACTTGGATAGTTAAGGACTTTCTTCTGTCTTCGTTTCTTTCAATCCTGCTGATTTTGTCTCTGATGTGACTCTAAACCTTTAACGGCTGTGTAACCTTGTTCATCTTAGTTTTAACAATGTTAGGTAGAATTGGAATTGTTGGGTCATATAATAACGCCAAGTTTGCATTTTGAGGAACTGCCAAACTCTTCCACAGCGGCTGCTTCATTTTCTATTTCCACCAGCAGTGTATGAGGGTTCTAATTTCTTCACATCTTCTTCAGCACTCGTTATTGTCTATTGTTGGTTTTTGTTTCGTTTTGTTTGTTTTATTTTAGCCATCCTAGCAGGTGTGAAGTGGTGGTATCTCATTGGTTTCGATTTTCATTTCCCTAATGGCTAATCATATTGAATATCTTTTCATGTGCATATTGGCCATTTGTATATCTTCTTTGAAGAGATACCTATTCAGATCCTTTGCCCATTTTTAAATTGGATTATTTGTCTGTTTATTATTGAGTTGTATGCGTTCTTTATATATTCTAGATACAATATACTTTCTGGATATTAATCAGATATATGATTTGCAGATATTTTCTCCCATTCTATGGGTTGTCTTCACTTTCTTGATGGTATGGTATGTAGCACAAAGGTTTTTAATTTTGATCAACTGCATTTTACCTTTTGTCACTTGTACTTTCGGTGTCATATCTAAGAAATCATTGCCTAATCCAAGGTCACAAAGATTTACATCTGTGTTTTCTTCTAAGAATTTTCTAGTTTTAGCTATTATAGTCAGGTCTGTGATACATTTTGAGTTAATTTTTGTCTATGGTGCAAGGAAGGGATCCAACTTCATTCTTTTGTATATGGATATCCAGTTGTTCCAGCGCCATTTGCTGAAAGACTGTTCTTTCCCCGACTAAATTGTCTTGGCATTCTTGTTGTAAATCAATTGACCATAAATGTGAGGGTTTATTTCTGGACTCTCAATTCTGTTTCAGTGATCTATGTGTCTATCCTTATGCCAGTACCACACTATGTTAATTATTGTAATTTTGTATCAAGTTCTAAAATTGAGAAATATGAGTTCTCCAACTTTGTTCTTTTTCAAGACTGTTTTGACTATTCAGGATACCTTAAAATTCCATACGAATTCTAGGATGGGTTTTTCTGTTTCTGAAAAAAAAAAAAAAAAAAGTCATTAGGATTTTGATAGGGATTGCATTTAATCTGTAGATTGCTTTGAGTAGTATTGTCATCTTAACAATATTAAGTCTTTCAATTTGTAAATGTGGGATGTCTTTATTTAGGTCTTTAATTTCTTTCAGCAGTATTTTGTAGTTTTTAGTGTACATTTCTTGTTCCTCGGTTAGATTTGTAAGTATTGTATTCTTTTTGATGCTATTATAAATGGAATTCTCTTCTTAATTTCATTTTTAGATTGCTCATTGCTAGTGTATAGAAATGCAATTGATTAATGTATGCTGATCTTGCAACCTAGCTGAACTCCTATATTAGTTTTAATAGTTTTTTTAGTGATTTCCTTAGGATTTTTCATCGTGTCATTTGCAAATAGAAATTGTTTTACTTCTTCCTTTCTAATTTGTATGGGTTTTATTTCTTTTTCTTGCCTAGTTGCCCTGGCTAGAACCTCCAGTACAATTCTGAGTAGAAGTGGCCAGAGCAGGCTTCTCTGTCTTGTTCCTGATTTTACAGTAAAAGAATTCAATCTTTCATCATTAAGTAACATGTTAGATGTGGGATTTTCATAGATGTCCTTGATCACATTGAGGAAGTTCCTGTCTATTACTACTTTGTTGAGTGTTTTTATCATGAAAGGGTATTGGATTTTGTCAGATGCTTTTCCTGCATCTATTGAGATGATCATGTGATTTTTTTTACCTTTGTTCTAGTGATATGGTGTATTACATTGATTGATGTTCTTACGTTAAACCAGCCTTGCATTCCTGCCATAAATCTCACTTGTTCATGGTGTATAGCCCTTTTTAGATGTGGCTGGATTTGGTTTTATAGTATTTTGTGGAGGAGTTTTGTGTCTATATGGGACCAATATAAGGGATATTGGTCTATAGTTTTCTTATCATATCTTTGTGTTTTTGGTATCAGTGTAATACTGACCTCATAGAATGAGTTCTGTTTTTTGGAAGAGTATGTGAAGAATTGGTATTAATTCTTCTTTAAACGTTTCTTAGAATTCAGCAGTGAAGCCATCTGGGCCTGGGCTTTTCTTTGTGAGAAGTTTTTTTAGTTACTAATTCAATGTTTTTACTTGTTGCACTGTTCCTTAGTTGTAGGGCATGTAAACTGCTTACAGACACACACTTCTGTAGAAGAAGAAATCTGGGAAAAGTGGACCCTGCAGGAGTTGGGATATTTAGCAGTTCCTAGTTGCCTCTGCCTGGAGCTTGCCTTCTCTCCTCTTTATTATTCCATGTGCTATAGAGGAAGCAGCTAGTCTTCCTTCTTCCCTCCTGAATGAATGCTTTTGAGGTTGAAGACCAATAACCTGAGCCTGTCTCTTGGGTAGAAAGGATGACTGTGTAACTTAACCTGACATATGAAGGAGTTAGCACTCAAATCAAGGCTAAAGAGAACAGAAGCTTTCTCAGGCCTTCCTGAAGCTCTTTTCATTTTTTCTCCCTAGCCTTAAATATTGGTAAAAAGTGAAGGAACTTTGGTTCATAAGTGATAGACCACAGTGAACTACCATACAGCCATTTAAAAAATGAGATAGTTCTCCATGTGCTGATATGAAATCATCTCCAGGACATATAACTAAGTGAAATGTGAATAATAGTATGCTGCCATTTGTGTTAGGGGAGACGAAAAAAAAGGAAAGGAAAGGAACCTATAATATATACAGGCTGGTAAATGCAGAATACCCTTGGAAGGATACCCAAGATAAGAGTCAGAGGTGATGGGAGACTTAATACAGCTTGATTGGTTTTTTTTTCCTTTTGATTATGCTACCTTAAACAAAAGTGTTTACAGCAATGGGCCTGTGCCGTGTGCGGTGATGAGGCTCTGAGGTGGCCGCGTGTGTACGTGTTTCTTGAACAGCCATGTGCCCCTCTGCACATCTCCAAGGTTCTGTCCAGACCTCCACTTATATAAAGACTGTAGTATTCCTCAGAAGTCCCTAAATCTGTCTACCTGTGGGAAACTGGTGACAGATTTCAAAGGCTCTTGAAGGTTGTGTATTCCCTTTTGAGTACTATTTCAGCAGCACAGAAATCCTAGTCTGTCCTCCCAAGGCAAAAGGCTTTCACCGCCCTCCAGCCTCCCTGTGGACTTCTGGCCATGCAGCCCCACAGCACAGCCCTTTATTCTTGCATGAGTGAGGGTGCTGGGAAGTGAAGCAGGTGCCGGAAGTCTTTGGACTTCCCAGGCCAAGTGAACATCCACACTAGCAGCCTGTCCTTTTCCACTGAAGGCTGACAGAACTGGCAAGGAGGAATACGTTTGGTTTTTTGGAAGTAACCACAAACCCTTCACTCCCATCCGGAGTGAACGTTTCCCCTCCTTCACAGGGGCTACCCTAGAAGGCTAGGGAAGGCTGGCTTCTCAGATCCCAGGTCAGATTCCAGGCCTGGATCAGGGCCTCAAGCACTGAGAATCCTCCTGTCTCTTCCACAGAGAACACCTTCTGCAGTGGGGATCATGTGTCTTGGCACAGCCCTTTGGATAACAGCGAGTCAAGAATTCAGCACATGCTGCTGACGGAGGACCCGCAAATGCAACCTGTGCAAACACCCTTTGGGGTCGTTACCTTCCTCCAGGTGAGATGAGGGTTAGATACTGACTTGAACCTTCCTTGTGGGAAAAGTCCTGGCAGAACAGAAAGACTTGCATAGGGGAAGTAAAGGGAGCAGGAGGTTTCCTTTGGTCTTCTTTTACTTTCTGTTCCCTCTGATGACTTGTCAGGTAGATCCAGATGGTCTGATTTAACCTCCTGAGATGGGAGAAGGGGGAAGGGACCATTTGGGTGGGAGAGAATGGCTGTAGCTGAGAAGGAGGTAACAAGGAGGGTATTTTTGTAAACTAGTGAAGATCCAAACAGCCTCTGCACAGGACCTCCCAGCAAGAAGCCAGCTCTGGGCTGCACTCTCCCTTACCCAGATGGGTGGGCATCCACCCCAGCTGCAGCCGAGTGCTTGCTTCTGGTCCTGATGGGGTCTGTATGAAGGTTCTGTTGGTTCCCATGAGATTTACACAAAAACTCAGCCCCTGATAAGGAAAGGGAGCTTCTCTGCAAGCTGTTGAGGCCCTTTGGTCATGGTTCCCAGCTTGAAGGATCTCAAAACCTCCCTTGTTTATATTCCCCATGAAACTAGATGAGGCCAGAATGTCTCCCTGGACCTTCCGTATTTCCACAGACATGGCCTAGGGACCCATCCTGAGGTGTCCCAGGTCCTGAATTTTTCCTATAGCCTAGGGCTAGACTTTGTATCACCAGATAACTTGTTCCATCACAGCAGGGCAAGGTCAGCCTTCCATGCCCTGTCTGTGGATCCATCCATCTCCTAGCCAGGCAGCTGCTCCCTCCTAAGAGAACCATCTGGTTGGACACACTAGGCACTCAGCACAGATCCTGCCTTGGTCCCTCCACCTAAGGTGACCCTGAGAGAACTTGGGTAACTGACCTTCTGGGAGGCTGGGAGGGGTGGCCATTAGCACACATAGCATCTTGTCCCCGGGCCTCAGATTGTTGGCGTCTGTACTGAGGAGCTGCACGCGGCCCAGCAGTGGAATGGGCAGGGCATCCTGGAGCTGCTGCGGACGGTGCCCATGTGAGTACACCCCTGCCCTCCAAGGTGGGGCCTGCTCCCTGGGCCTGAGGCAGGAGTCCCTCCCCTACCCCACATGTGCCCCTTCCCGCTTGCATTACTGTTTCAGACACTGTTTTTTTCACATCAGGGCTTTCTGACAGCTCACTCCCTGGTGGTCCCTGACCACTAACTATCCTCCTGTGTTTCTGGGCCTGGGGCAGCAAACCAGGCAGGCTGCAGGCCCAGCCTATCAGACCTAGACCCTCAGTTACCATCATTTTGCCTTTCCTTGTCCACAGTGCCGGCGGCCCCTGGCTGATAACTGATATGCGGAGGGGAGAGACCATATTTGAGATCGATCCACACCTGCAAGTATGTCTTGAGTGAGAAAACCTTTCTAGCACACTGTGCCCTAAGCCTCTTCCATATAACACTGGCTTTCATCCTGGGAAAGCAGAGGAGCTTTATTTGTGAGTGAGTAGACATGTAGCGTGATTTGGAACGTGTCCCCTGAATTCTGCAGAGTGCATAAGGAAGCCGAGAATCTTCAGGCCAGGAAAGCTTGACTGAGACACATTTATTTTTATATTGAAAAAGTTGAAGTTTATTTTATGTAAATTATACATCAATAAATCTGGCTTTTAAAAAATTAGTTCACCAGCAACAGAAGAAAATCAGTGTAGTGAATATTGCTTGTCCAGTCTTCATTCTCCCACCTCCAAAAAGAGCATAGATTTTCTTTCAAGAAGCCACCCCTCCCCACCTGGTAACGGACAGTAGTTTAGGTGGTTTTGACCCCACCACCTAGCTCCGGGAGTCAGCCCTGTGCAGTCTAATGCTCCCTTCTCCCTTTAGACATGTTTTCATCTCAGTCAGTCAGACCCCAAGCTCCTGCTTTGGATGGCTGGCATTCCTTGAGGTATAGAGACTGTCTTTATGCACATGGGCCAGCAGTTGCCCACTCACTGTGGCCCACCTGGACAGAGTTTCAGGGTCATCTTTGGTTTTTTAGCAGAAGTACTCTTTTTGCATACAGGTAAAGTTTGCAAGCAACATAGACCACACCTGACTTAATCAGGAGCAGCAGACAGCTAATGAGGTGCTTGACACCTGTCTGCCTTCTCCTGGCTCCCCCACTCCCACCCCCCATGCAGGTCATGGCCTTTTCTGAACTTTTCTTGCTCCTTTAAAAATCTGGTTGGACACAGGCAGCTGCCAGGGGTGACGTGTCTTAGAGCAGGGGAGAGGTGCAAGCAGACATTCAGGCAGCAGTCCCTGGTTTCTTTACCACAGACCTGTAAGGTCTTGGGCATAAATCCTGCTCATTCACAGATGACGCTCCTCTGTTTTCCTAGTGCGTTTAACACTGACCCTTTCAAAGTGCTGCCAGGAGCCTCTGTTATCTCTGCTTGAAACTTGGTTTCCTTGTAGCTTCTGCTTATCAAGAACTAGGAACCCACGAAGGCTGTGTTTCCTAAGCCCTAGTTGTGCAGCCGCACTGGGATCCAGCATGGGGCACTGTGGGCTGTTGTTTGGCCCCTATCATAAGTGCCAAGTACTAAGAAAGAACCTGGTCTTTTGAACTAGTAGGGTAAGCAAACCGTCCTTCCTCTGCATGCCAAGAACTGTTCTCTTCCCTAGTCCGCAGGCTTCCTGAGACCAGCCAGCAGGACCCAGAGCACCTAGTGGTCTTGAAAAGCAAGCAGGGGGACTGTAGGGAGAAAGCCCAGCTTTCTTTCCTGGTAACTGTGTGCATCAAGGGTCAACTCCCCTGAACCCGCTTGGGCCTTTCTGGGGCCTGCTTGCAGTCAGTTCATTTTAGAGCTGGCTCGTGCTCCTTTGAGCCAGGCTCGACCATTAACCAGCTGTGTGCTGTAAACAAGTCTCTTAACTTCTCTGGGTCTTGCCTCTTTCTTTTTACTTAGGAAGTAAGTGGGCTGGACTACTTGAGCCAGAAGGTCTCCTCAGCTCTTTACTTAGTTGAGGTGCTTCAGGGCAGCTAGTAGGTAGGGAAAATTGTAGGCTCTACCCTGAGCAGACCAGGGCCCACACACTCCCCACATAGAGAGTTAGAGCTGTGTCCCTGCCGCCAGCCTTTCTCTGCTCCTAATCTCCAGGCTGATGGTAGCACCAGAAAGGAGAATATTGTGATTGATGGGAGGAGGCATCAGGGGTGGGGCTGCCTGCTGACTAGTCTCCAGAAATAGGGACAGTACCTTGTGCTTCCCCAGATAGGTTCCCTAGCCTACCAGCAGGCCAGTTTGGTGCCTGTGGAGCAATGGAGAGAGGATTAGGCAGGTTCTTACTGAGGTGCCCACTCACAAGGAGCTTTATTTGGCCCACATGGCTGTTTACAAGCAAGTTTGCTACAACCTTCCAGATGACCTTTAATCCAGAGCCCAGCATCACAGAACTGTTTTAACAGAAAATCTCAGGGATGTTTTGAGTACAACTCTTCCTTGAGGCCATTTGGAGGGCCATGTTTGGACTCTGCAGTGCCAGGGCCTGTATGAAGGTAGGGCCTCTGGCGGGGCCCGCAGATGGTCACTGCCTTCCAGGCCCACATTTCAGTCTAAGAAATGGAAAAGAAATGCCATCCAGAGTCCTTTGCCGAATAAGTTAGCCAGTGCAACTTAGGAAAGTCTAGCCCTCTCGTGGCACTTCACTACATGACCACACCTTCTAGTTGTTAGAAGAAGAAACTGTAAGCATGGAGTCGGGAAGAAGTTGGTCTGAGTCCTGACCTTTCCTGCTGCTACAGAAGACAAAGTGTTCTTCCTAAAGGGCCAGCAAGGAAAGGAAGGATCGTGCTTTTTCTCAGGGAACTAGTTTCTGTCTCTGCCACATCACCTCCACGGGCTAGCACGGGGTAGGCATAGGTAGGGCTGTGTGACTGGTGTGAAGGTTCTTGATGAGTGGAGAAGCTTCCCTTTGGATTTTCATTCCTCCTGGATTTGCCTAAGACAGTGGCTGGCAGAGAACATCATGCGTAGGTAACAAGGTCAGAGACCCTGCTCTTCCACACCTCTACCATGATCAGCCCTTACAAAAGCTCAATGAATCCTAGAAGGGGGTGTCTAAGTGGGGCAGCAGTGGCCTTGACCCACCAGTTAGCTGAAGGAATGCTGGCCCTTTGATTCTTTTCAAGCAGGAGAGAGTTGACAAAGGCATCGAGACAGACGGCTCCAACCTGAGCGGTGTCAGCGCCAAGTGTGCCTGGGATGACCTGAGCCGGCCCCCTGAGGATGACGAGGACAGCCGGAGCATCTGTATCGGCACACAGCCCCGGCGGCTCTCTGGCAAAGGTGGGCACCATTGTCCAGCCTTCCCTCCTTTCTTCCCCAGGCCTGGTTTTCACGCTCTCTGATACGTGTGGTGCTCCAGAGCCCTGGTGGTTCAGTGGTTAAGCATTCAGCTGCTAACCAAAAGGTCAGCAGTTTGAATTCACCAGCTGCTCCTTGGGAACCCTATGGGTCAGTTCTACTATGTCCTATAGGGTCGCTATGAGTCGGAATTGACTCGACGGCAATGAGGTTTTAGTGTGGGTATCTGATAGAAACAGCTTAAGCAATAGTTTACTTCCTGGTCTGAGTTAAACAGCAAGTGAACCCTTCCAGCAGGGTGGGATTAAGGGAGCTTTGTTGGCCCATTTCTAGCTATGTTTCCTGTGTGTATTTCAAATGCACCACCAACAGTGCCCATTGTATTTTAGGGTTGCCCCCTGCAATCTGAGGTCATGGAGGTGAGTGGAAGCCATAGAACAGTTACAGGAAAGGGCCATAGTCCACCCAATGCAAGAGAACAAGCATTGGCCACCCACAGAATTGACACAGTGCCCAGCTCTGGCCTGTAAGCTATGCCAGATCCGAGGATCACTCTGGCTTCAGGCCCTCAGAAACCTGAGTGAGGCCAGTTCACACATGCCCCACCCCACTGTCCTATAGTGTAAGGGACTCTGGGCCAGGCACCCTGTCCCCACTGTATTCGGGTGGGGCCTTAGGGAAGGAGGCTATGGCTCTCCTGCCAGAAGCTCACCATGCTGGTCTTGGCTACAGAAACAGTTGTGGTTTTCAGCAAAGGGCGTCCCTAGCTAACACCAAAGGAAAAGCAGCCATTTACATGTAGGTGTATTTACAGATTCTTTTTCCACTTCTTTCTCTAGTCCTCCATCTTTTCTTATTTTTAAAAAGAATAAGATACCTACAGCCCTGAATAAAATGCCTACATATGTAATAAAACTTGTAAAAGGTTTTCTCTTCCTGAAAAGGACAACGTAAACCTCTAGTGCAAATATCTGACCCCTTTCTTTCCTTCCTTCCTGTTTGTTCTAATGTGTGCCGAGCCCTCGAGGAGGTACAGAGAGAGGGTATACAGTTATTAGAATCATTCAATTGCTTTTGACAAAAGGGGTAACTTAAGGAAGGATTCATAGTCTTGTCCAAAATTTCAACCATTATTGGCTATTTTTGAAAAATTATAAAAGTAATCCATGCCACTGTAACAAGTTAGAGAAGTTGTTAATCATCTCCTCCCCACTCTGCGCCCACCCTTTGAACAACCAATGTTAATTTGCCTTTTTGGGTGTGATGGGTAATTTGCAGAGGTGAATCTTAGATCAAAATCTCTATATAGGACCAGACTAGTAAGGTTTATCCCAAAGACCAGCAAAGCTCCTTGCAAAGAATTCTACCAAGGGAGTCCTTTCTCACCTCCTGGCTCTAGCCAGATCCATGAAGAGTCTGAGTTCCCTGGAATAGGGTCAAGGTGAGGAGATGACCCCTGCTTCCCATTGACCTGGGCTCAAGGAGAAGGGGTGACAGGGTCAGACGCTAGTTGACCACCCAGAACCCAGAAACTTGTGAGGCCCCTGTCCACTCATGGCAGAGCACCTGCAGCCCTCATAATACCCATTTCAGTGTGCAGAATCTCTACGTTATCTTGGGCGGTGACAAAGTCTTTGTCAGTCAGTCACTGTCTGGAACCATTTTAAGGTAAACCCAGAGCCTGTGGTGCAGGAAGGGAAACTACAGCAGAAATGAGCCCTGTCTTGGAAAGCTCTCTTCTGAAGTCCAGAGGCTACCCCTTATCTTCTTCAAGAGTGGCATTCTTTAGACCAAAAGTTTCTTGATAGCATGGTACCTCATCTGCCCTGTCTTCTCACAGTCTGAGCTCACTCAGACTCAGGTCTGGATGCCTAGAGCAGGCTCAGGGCCAGCCAGCATGAGTGCTTTTCCACAGTATGTCTGCAGAGCCAGGTTTTAAGGGCAAGGTTACATACTGGGAGCCCAGGGGGCCATTAGGCAGCCTGGTGGTTTCATTGCAGACACGGAGCAGATCCGGGAGACCCTGAGGAGAGGACTTGAGATCAACAGCAAACCCGTTCTCCCACCAATCAACCCTCAGCGCCAGAATGGCCTCACCCACGACCGGGCCCCGTAAGTTCCCCATCCACAGAGGGGTTAGTACAGCTTCCCAGCAGCAGTGGCCAGGGGCTCTGTGGAGGGACTTGACACATCCCAGGGCTAGATCAAGGGGGCACTTTTGTCCTGAAGCGCCTCCCTCTGTGGCTTGCATGAAGAGACCAATGCCCACAGTCCTGGCAGTATGGATCCAGGGTCTCTGAGCTTAGAGAAGGCATGGTCTGGGGCACACATATCTGTGGGTCATAGCAGAGGGCCTCAGGGGACCCAGCGGCCCGGGAATATAAACACCAGTAAATATTTACATGGGCTGTGTGAACAGACGAGAGGCCAGGTTGGGGTAAAATCTGATTTGGGGCCTCCCAGCCTTGTGGGAGCCCATTGTGCTGAGCACAGTTCCCCTCCTTATCTCAGCCTCAGCCAGAGTTGCCCTTCCTTCCTTCCTGGAGCCTGGTCTCCGGCTGATAGCTGCAACCCTAGGGGCCTCCCTGTCTGGCCAGCCCCATACTGGAGGCCTGCTGCCGAGGCCCCTCTTCCTGCCTCCCTTCCCTGGGGCCCAGGGAAGGGAAGGGAAGTTCTTTGCAGGCCTCTGCTGCCTGCCTAGGGGCCGCAGCAGTCCTTGGGAAACTACAGTCGCCCCGCCGTCAGATCCACTTCCTGCTGACCTCTCCCCTGATAGGGGGGACAAGTAGTGGGCTGGGCACCCCCCTCCGCCCTTAGTCTTAGGGCAGTTCTGCTGCTGGCGGGGTATGCCTGGGAGCTGGCAGCCCAGAGTAGGAACCCTGCCTGCTAGGGAGGAAATTGCCATGCCCTGGGCTAAAGGGGAATCCAGCTAATCCTGCAAGGCCAGGGTGAGCTGTCCCTGGTAAGCTTTCCCTCTTCTAAGAAGTCTTTGTTACACACTTGCTATGTGGCAAGTTCAGGGCCCGGGGGACCATCTGGGGTGCATACCCTTCCTTTCGGGGAGCATGAGCTGAACAATGAACTTTTAATGGCGTGAGTCTGGCTATAGATGCCGTTTGTTGGGAATGGCTGCTGCTTTGGCTTCTAGCCCCAGTTGCTCATCCATGACCCCCAGGAGTGGTAGTGATTCAGTGTACTACAGGAAAGAGAGGTCAGCATGGTCTGGAGTAGTTAGGGAGGGCTTCTTGGAAGAGGAAGAACATGAGCTGGACCTAGAAGATGTTCTAGAATTTTAATAGGCAGAGAAAGGAGCTCAAGGGGCTGAGACAAGGGAAGGCCTGGCTGGTTAAAGTTAAGACTGCATCCTGGGAGCAAATCGTGGAGAGGGAAGAGTTAGTCTGGGAACAGGGCTGCCCAAGATGGCTCACCTGGTGAATCTGCCATCCAGAAGCCATGAGAATGGGGGGCTCTTTGGCCAGAGCTTAGGGAAACCTCCACCGCCACCTCAGAGTGGCTGTCAGCTCCAGCCAGTGGATTTCTCCAGCTATCTGCCTTGAAGTACTGGCTTGAGGCAGCAGAAGATGACCAGGCTGGGTCTTGGGGCATCTGCAGGCTGTCCACCTGTGAATCTGTACCGTGTCCTAGGGGCCACACTCCTTCCCATGCCCTGAGTTTGGCGTCTTGCTCTGGGCCCTGTTGGCACTGGCAGGAAACCGGGAGGTACTTGTAGGCTTAAAGCCTCAAGCAGATTGCCTGTCACTTGTAGACAGTCTCAGTCCAGATGACTCTCCCTTCTCGGGAAGGCCAGGGTCTCTGGGCAACAGGCAAGGGCTCCTGCAGAGGCACAGCCCTCTTGTGTGTCTGGGACAGGCCTGAGATCTCACTCCTTGTCTTGGGCATATTCCCAGCTGCCGCACCCCAAGACATGGTGAGGGGTCACAGGGCTCTGGGTTCCTGTATGCACACACATAGCTCACTCAGACTGGGCACAGGGCTCTCTGTAGACACAAGACAGAGGCTGCTGCTGTGTCTACCCTTTGGCCTGAGCTGGCTGAGCTACAGAGCAGTGGCTGGGGACTAGATCAGAAGTGCCAGCCCTCTAGGGTAGTCTCCCCTCCCTGCTGCTCAAATGGACCCAGTCAGGTCTCCAAAGTGCTAGAATCTGTATTCCAGAAGGAGTTAGAACGTTTCCTCTGAGATTCTCATTGCTGGCTGCAGATCTGTCAGCAATTGGTTGAGAAACGGTTCCTCCTCCTTTGCCAAGAACATTTTCACCACCCCTCAAGTCTCTCAGACTCCAGCTCCCTGTTAACCTCAGGATCGATGATGATGGACTCAGTTCAGATGATGGACTCAGTTCAGATTGCAAGCACAGTCGTAGTATCTGTGCTGCCCACTCTGGGACCTGACCTCGTTTCAGATAAACTGCATGGATTGTGACTGAGAAAGCTGGCCCAAAATGTGCTGGCACCAGTGTTTGCTTCTCTCCCTGTGGGGAAGCAACAGGTGTGGGACTTATTGTGTCTGCGCATCTGATTTTTCTTGAGTCAAGACATCTGGGCTGGAGACTTCTGATGTATGGGTCTTCATGGGTCTGAATATGGTCCGAGGAGGCTACAGAGGTAGGCCGGAGGGTCATAACAGTTGATCAAGACTGGACATTAGCAGCTGGGTTATGGCCTACTTGGGGGAGTCAGTCACTTGCTGTTTTCATACCTCAAAAGCAACTGACACTTTTAAAATAGTGCTTTATACATATATGAATTTAATTCATCCTCATAGCCACTCTGTGGAGTAGATAGTCTTATTACCCCCTTTTATAGGTGAGGAAACTGAGGTACAGAGAGGCTAATAAGTAAATTGTCCAAAGTTAGGGGAAGAGCTTAGGGCAGTCTATCAGGCATTAAAATGGGTGTGATCTGCCTTATCCCATTCACAAGGACCTCATGGGGGACACACAAGAGTGTGTCTCTGTGTTAATAGTGACCCTCATTGGTGGACCTCATCTAACAGAGACCTCTCCCATGATACCAAGGACATGGCTAAAGCCCCATGTTAGAAGTTTATTGTGCTTATTTAACTCTAGGGAGGACACACCATAAGCCTCGGTGATTCCAAATCCCAGAAATAATGAGCTGTGTCATAACTGGCTCATTTATACCAGAATTGCTTTTTGACACATGGCCTTGTTTTCTTCATGTTCAGAAACAAAAACAACCCTATCTCTGGCCCCTCCACCACCACGGGGCCAGGGATTTCTCTTTCTTTCTTGAGGCCTTACTTCCTGCTTCCCAGAAAGGCAGGCCCCTCTGGGTAACCTGCTCCGCTCCCACTTGCCCTTGCCAGCCCTCCTCCCACCACCTTCCCAGAAGGAGAGTCCTTGGCCCTCTTTGGGGCTTCTTCCAGCGTTTCACAACCCTTACATTCCAGCCGTGAAATTTGTATCTGGCTTTTCCCAAGATGATCAGTTGAGAAAAGCCTCCTTCGGCTTGCTGGCGCCTCCCTTCCCACTGCTTGCTCAGATGAGTGTGGAGAGCCTGGGAAGCCACTCCTTCATGCCACGGGGGACCGCCTCACTTAGAGACCGCCACCTGGGGCCTGGGGGAGAAAAAGTCATTGGGCATTCTCTCTGTCTGAGGCTGCCTGGTTAGGATTGGACTGCTACACGGAGTCTGCCTTAGCCCCCAGCCCCTCCACAGTGATTTGTGGACCAGGCATAACACATTGGGGTTTTTGCATTTCTATAAAGGGTTTCAGAGCCCTGGTGGTGCAGTGATTAAAGTACTGCTAACCAAAAAGGTCAGTGGTTCAAACCCACGAGCTGCTCCATGGGAGAAATATGTGGCAGTCTGATTTACAGCCTTGGAAACCTTATGGGGCAGTTCTACTCTTTCCTATAGGATTGCTATGAGTTGTATTCAACTTGATGGCAACAGGTTTGGTTTTTTTGTGGGGAGGGTTATAAAGCATTTCTCTGAGAGCTGGGAGCCCGCATTGGTATTCCAGGACCTTCTCTCCCTCTACCAGTGACTCAGGGATCAAGGTCAGGCAAAACTTGAAGGAGTGCCCTGGGCCACAGACCCTCCTGGAGGTGGGCAGGGGCTCATGCATGTGTGTACGTGTCCTGGAGGGGCCAGGCTCCTGGCTGGGAGAGGCACTTTGTAGTTGAAGGTAGCTTTAAAAAGCAAACTAACCATCATTGCTGAGGTAAGTTTCTCAGTCTTCTGGAACCCCACCAGCAACTTTTAAGGTGTTTTTTTTCTTTGCCTTAATTTCCTGGAGAATTAAGGTTTTATAGCATGAATTCTCCTGTTCTGACGTTCTCATCTGTGCCTTCCGCCCCAACACACATGTACACATGTATGTCTGTTCCCCCCACCACCACCACCAATACTTGTATGAGTGTCTCTGCTTGCATCTGTTTGCCTTTCTGCAGGGGGTGACTTGCTGCCTTTATTCCCAGCTTGTAACTGGCTAGGGAGTCATCCTTTAGAGAAGAGTTTTTCTCAGCCTGTGAGGTCCATGAAGATTAATTAGAAGAAGAAAATATCTAGTTTGCATCCAACCTACCAGTGAATTTGTGTGAAGGAAGGTGAGTTTCCTTCTGAGAAAACAACTGGACTGTTGTCAGCGCTCTCATGCTAGGCAGTCTTCGGTAACCCTGCTCTAGTTGGTTTGTCAGAGCAGCTGCCAGCCTAGAGCTCGAGTCTGTCACACTGGCTTCCCCCAGTTGTTTTCACTGGAGAGAAGAGCCAGAAAGAAACAGTCCTCCTCTGAGGTCCCAGCCAGGCCCCACAGGGCTGGAAGGGACGAAGGGCCCCAGCCTCTCTGCTCCCTGCCTCTTGAACTAACGTTCTCCTTTTTGCAGTGATCCATGTTTGTCATGCTAAGTGCTTTTATGTGCCTTTCTCAGAAATACACATTTGAAAGTGAAGAACCAGGGGCTGGTGCGAAGTGTCTCTCTCTGCCTTTCCCATAAGTACACATTTGAAGGCAGAACAAAGGCAGATCCACAGCAGATTTGGCATGAGTAAATATCTCATTCTCTGCTCCACCTCCCCAAAGAGATTCAGCCATGGCCATGGTTAGCACCCCAACTTCGGAGTTCATGA